GCAAATTAGACACACCGCAGAACCCGCTCTCTCCACAAAGGCGAATTCTTCGGTCCATTCGTCCTGAAATGTACGATACTCGTCGTCTTTTTTTCTTTTCGCCATCTTCTTCGTCGCAAACGCTGTCTCAAGACTGATTCAAAAGGGGGCGTTTACCTGTTTTACCCAGCAACGGCAAAGGTAGGCCAGTATCATCCAATTAAAATAATGGAAAATTGCTCCTGCAGCCCTGAACAGGACATGCACAGTGAAAAATCGATGGATGGATTAAAACAAGTGAAAATATTTTGTTTTATCTGCGAGCCATATGCAATCATCAAAAGAGCCACATCTGGCTCGCGAGCCATAGGTCCCCGACCCCTGCGTTAGACCATAGATTGTAAATATACTTTTTAACATTAGATCTCACCATTGTAAGCACTTAAGAGTGTTATGTATTTTTTTGTCCACATGATGGCGTAGTGGAGCATGAATCACCTCGAGCCTTCGGACCATGGGCCGAGTAATAGGCTGCAAACCCTCAATGCATCATGGGGCTTCATATTGCCATCACTACTACAAGTTGTAGATCAATACTCACAGTCAGGGGCAGAGTTTCCTCTGCCCCTGACTGTGGTGGACCTCGTGGTGTTCTCTCCAAGGGATCGCGGGTTCTGCCGTGTGCCGTGCGTCCCGTCTGCGCGGTCCCAATCCCTGCTTTGCTGCGCTCCCCAGGTGATTATATTCACTGTGATTGCACCCGCAGGTGTCTTGGTCCATCCTCATCAGGGGTGGTGTGTGCGTTGTCGTGAGGGCAACCATATAAACAGTCTAAAAGCATGCACTTGAAATCACAGCAAAACAATAAAACTCATAATACGCAATTAAAAACCATAACAGTAAAAACACTCAGCATGCATAAATATAATAAAACGCCCCCACTTGTGTCCCATCACACTGATACCTGGGCACAAGGCCTTACAATAGTCCAGCTGAGTCGGAACAAAAGCGTGAATCAAAATTTCAAAATGTTGACTTGTAAGGGAGGAGTTTATTTTAGCAAGTTGCCTTAAAGCTGCATTGCCTGACTTTACTTCTGCTTTGGGATAAACGTCCTTTTGAAGAAAAAGTAGCGCCGATTTGTGCTGGCGTATCATTTTATTTTAGATCGAGTTTTCGTGAAACAAGGAAGAGAATGTGTTTTGGGACCAGATTGTGACCAATCACAGCGGACCACTGGCCCCCACTTTCTTGAGAAAAGCCACAGGTCTGTGGTTAGCACAGACAGCTGAGGTAAACAAGCGGCGGAGGCTAACCTGAAACTTCCCGTGTCTTCATTACCGGTTACTGCTTACTCAGCAAAGTCTCATCCTCTCCGCGCTTCCTGGTTCATCCAAAGTTATGAAACCTCAGGTCGTCTGACTAAAACATTACATTTACTAAATTGATTGTGGGATTTGGTGACAATTTACATTCAAATACATTATAGACAGACAATCTTCTGTCAGAATACTATTCTACACTTATACTACAAGGGATTTTTACCGTTTGTTTTATTCGATTTTTATTTCTTTTTTTTTTTACACACAGACCATAGATTTAGTCTCGACCGTGGAAAACAACTGGGCAATTTGGAAAACACAGAAACTCTGTTTAAACTCAACCTTCAGATTATTCAGAACATTCCAATGGATTTATGAAAAATTCCTTTGTCATGTTTCGCCTCTAAAGAAAAGAATGTGTCCTTCACCCATTCGGGGACGTTATGTAATAAATAAAGTCCTTAATCAAGGAGTATGTGGCCCACGGAATTGATTAAAGTAACCTATCCCCCACTCTATTTTCTTTTTTTTTTTTTTCTCTGACAATAGGGTTTGTCAAACTACTCTAAACGTTAGAATAGTCTAAATTTGTGCATACGTCAATGATCACATCCATCCCCAAATGAGTGCTTGTGTTTGTGGGGTCCTGACTTCTGGACATGTGTAGATGTGTGTTTGAGTCATGTTTTGTTTACGATACCCGGACCATGGTCTGCCTCGTCCAGATCGTCCGTGGGACCCTCCCAGACCCTCGTCCTCCAGTCAGTCAGTCCCATATCGTTCATGCTGGTTCCTGTGGAACTGTCCGGAAACATGGTGGGCCTGGGGCCATTTTGTCAGAACCAGTTGTTGCTTTGTCTCTGTCCACTCTTTGACTGCTGCTGTGGGCGGGGCTTCCTTTGTCAGTGGGAAAGTTTCTTGTGAACTGCCCTATCTCTGCACAGGGATAGAAGCTTGTGGTCCTCTCTCTACACAGGGATAGAAGCCTGTGGTCCTCTCTCTACACAGGGATAGAAGCCTGTGGTCCTCTCTCTTCACAGGGATAGAAGCCTGTGGTCCTCTCTCTACACAGGGATAGAAGCCTGTGGTCCTCTCTCTTCACAGGGATAGAAGCCTGTGGTCCTCTCTCTACACAGGGATAGAAGCCTGTGGTCCTCTCTCTACACAGGGATAGAAGCCTGTGGTCCTCTCTCTTCACAGGGATAGAAGCCTGTGGTCCTCTCTCTACACAGGGATAGAAGCCTGTGGTCCTCTCTCTACACAGGGATAGAAGCCTGTGGTCCTCTCTCTACACAGGGATAGAAGCCTGTGGTCCTCTCTCTTCACAGGGATAGAAGCCTGTGGTCCTCTCTCTACACAGGGATAGAAGCCTGTGGTCCTCTCTCTACACAGGGATAGAAGCCTGTGGTCCTCTCTCTTCACAGGGATAGAAGCCTGTGGTCCTCTCTCTTCACAGGGATAGAAGCCTGTGGTCCTCTCTCTACACAGGGATAGAAGCCTGTGGTCCTCTCTCTTCACAGGGATAGAAGCCTGTGGTCCTCTCTCTTCACAGGGATAGAAGCCTGTGGTCCTCTCTCTTCACAGGGATAGAAGCCTGAGGTCCTCTCTCTTCACAGGGATAGAAGCCTGTGGTCCTCTCTCTTCACAGGGATAGAAGCCTGTGGTCCTCTCTCTTCACAGGGATAGAAGCCTGTGGTCCTCTCTCTACACAGGGATAGAAGCCTGTGGTCCTCTCTCTACACAGGGATAGAAGCCTGTGGTCCTCTCTCTACACAGGGATAGAAGCCTGTGGTCCTCTCTCTTCACAGGGATAGAAGCCTGTGGTCCTCTCTCTACACAGGGATAGAAGCCTGTGGTCCTCTCTCTACACAGGGATAGAAGCCTGTGGTCCTCTCTCTTCACAGGGATAGAAGCCTGTGGTCCTCTCTCTTCACAGGGATAGAAGCCTGTGGTCCTCTCTCTTCACAGGGATAGAAGCCTGTGGTCCTCTCTCTTCCACAGGGATAGAAGCCTGTGGTCCTCTCTCTTCACAGGGATAGAAGCCTGTGGTCCTCTCTCTACACAGGGATAGAAGCCTGTGGTCCTCTCTCTACACAGGGATAGAAGCCTGTGGTCCTCTCTCTACACAGGGATAGAAGCCTGTGGTCCTCTCTCTCCACAGGGATAGAAGCCTGTGGTCCTCTCTCTCCACAGGGATAGAAGCCTGTGGTCCTCTCTCTACACAGGGATAGAAGCCTGTGGTCCCCCCTGTATCAGGGCGGGTGATGGGCGGAGGGGGGCCGGGGACAGAGTTCTTGGCTTTCACGACTGGTTTGGGCACAGGGGGCCGGGACAGAGTTCTTGGCATGACTGGTTTGGGCACAGGGGGCCGGGGCCAGAGTTCTTGGCTTTCATGACTGGTTTGGGGCACCAGACTTGTCCATGTTGGGCTTTTTGGGTAACTGACGAGAGTTCTGGTTCAGGAAGGGGTTTGTTTTACCCTCCATATCATTGTCCTCCATCAGAGTCTGAGGTTTGGGGACGTTTAGTCACACGTCCAGGGTCAAGGTCGGGGTCCACACATCTGACCGGCTCAGAAGCATCCACGATCCCAGGGTTATCTATGTGAAAATAGAAAAAAAAAAGATACGGCAGTAACTTGCCCTTTGATAGATTGCGTTTGCGTGCATGTGTGTGTGTGTGTCGTCGCGCCTATACGCCTCTTGATAGAGTATTCAGGTGGTTCGATTGAGTATCTTACATACATTCATGCTCTCATTCTGACTTTCCATTCGCTCTCCACACAGACTTGTATTTCTTTGTTTATCAGTCACTCTCACAGTCATTCTCTGTCACTCCAGTTCAAGTCTTATCACTCCTGGCTCACTTCACACATCTCATGTCACTTTCATACCAGTCTGTGTCGCCCAGGACTGTACTGGTTCTGGGCTCTGTATGTGTTTGTAGTGTGTTTATGGTTACATTATCCCCAATGTAAGTAACCAACTAATTAGTTTAGATCAACTACTCTTATTTTCTTTCCTTTTACTCCCTTCTACTTCATCCGTTCACACACTCAAACACTCATGTTTTGTCAAGAATTTTACGCAGTACGCCAGACTCATTATTACATACGTCAGAATCTATTTGGTAGGTTTCATTTGCTAATTTTCTAAGTGCTTGTAGTTTATATACTTGATTTAAGCTTGAAGACCTACTGTCCGGGTCCTTTTCCAGACCATACATTTGAACACTCCAAGACTGTTGGCCCATACTTTCCGGCCATGGCTTTTGCCACCGTGGTTTGTGGGATCTCATCCCTGTCAGTGGACAATGACCCCTGATTTTGACCCATGTTGGCCCACTATGGCTGTCCCTAATCTCTTCACTATGCCTCCCAGGATAACCTCACTTCTGTAACAGGGTAACACTTAACACCTCTGAATAAACAGGAACAGTTAACCATTCAGCTATAAAACTCACTAGTCAAAGTCAAGCCAGTTAACTCGTCTGAATAGACATAGCTCTGAGAACAGGACAGCCAAGGCCTCTCGCTGGGTGGACTGGGGCTTTAGTTTTGTGCGGAGAGACAAAAAAAAAAAAAACAGTGACAGTTTGAAAGAATACAGCTCTTACCACACTGGTTGTTTACGTTTGTCCGTTTGAAAACCATGCGCTGGACGGCATCGCCTCGGCCCGGCGCCAGGAATCTTCTGTAGCTCAAACACGCGAGGAGAAGACCATGCCAGAGGCTGGGGAGGCCACCCTTCCTGGGCCGGGTCCGCGGCGAAGCCCCTCCAGACGATGGGACTGTTCGTTGACGCCAAATTGTTGTGGAAATTCTGCACATACCGAGAGTAAAATAATGTAAACAACTCAGAGCTGTAATTCCAAACAAAGTGTGAGTTTATTCATTAGTAAATGTGCACAATTACAATGAATAACAGAACCGATACCAATACCACCGGGCAGCCGTCCGAAATCGACTGCCCCGATTGAGGAAATGACTGTACATTAAATAGACCAGAGTAAACAAACACATATCTACTCTAGATATTACAGAGATGAAGTCAACATTGATACGTGTTGCTCAAGGCTTCTCTTTATGCGTCCTAACGCTGATACAACTCTGATATATATAACAATCTGCTTTTGACCTGAACATATTGTTCTATGACCCAGGTCAAAGACATGATGCATCACGTCTCCATCTATCACTGACCTGAGCCAACAGAGCATCATGGCCTGTGTCTGAATCCAGAGTTCACTGTTAGTTAATAACTTACACTCAGAACTATTTGGTGTTAATTCAGGTTCCTTTACTAAAATATTTCTATAACAATTCTATGGTCACGCCACGTTCGAATGTGCATCCATATTGTGAGACGTGAGCCATACAGTTAGCATGTGAGCACAGGCTGAGTGGGAGGGGGGTAGTGGGGGGCAAAAGCTCCGTGGGTGCGAGGAGGGGGAGCAAAAAGAGCGAGCTCAGCGCTCACATTCGAACATTTCTCAAAGTCAGTTAGTGCAGCTCTAAATGGAAGAATCTGCACTTCTTTGTTTATCAAATTTACACTCAGCATCCATTTTCACTCCAAGGTTTGAAACTATGGCCTTAACAAATTGTGTTAGCGTACCCAGGTTCACGGAGCTACAGCGTACAGGTGGAATGACACCCAAATCCTCCGGAGGACAGCTCCTTATGGCAACGCAGCAAACCATCAGGACAAATAACACATTTAGTTAATACAACAAAAATAGTTCACATTAAAAAGTATCTTGGCACATTAGGTAACTTATAAATACAAGTCCTTAAAAGACAACTCACCCTCAAATCCACTTTTTTTTTGCTGATAAACGATATAAATGAATGTCCAATAGTGTTGTCTACATATCCTGGTCATAATCTTGTCACTTTGGTGCAAATTAGTTGAAAGTTAAACTTTCTGCCTAAAACCGTCTGTGAGGCGCCATCTGCTGGCGACCTGTATTACTACATTTGAATTTTGAATCTGGCGCCAACACTGGCGCGGCAGCAAGACCTGACGTCTGAAGCAAGACCTGACGTCTGAAGCAAGACCTGACGTCTGAAGCAAGACCTGACGTCTGAAGCAAGACCTGACGTCTGAAGCAAGACCTGACGTCTGAAGACCTGACGTCTGAAGCAAGACCTGACGTCTGAAGCAAGACCTGACGTCTGAAGCAAGACCTGACGTCTGAAGCCCCCCGCCCAGAGCAATGTAAACGGCCCAGTCTCGTTCACGCCCCCTTTAATCCTCCAGGCTACGCCCATTTAGAGGAAGATTTGAACAGGAAATGTGAGTGACGTAAGCTCCGAGGAGCGGGGGTGAGAACCCCTTCAAGGTCTAAGCTCATTTTGGGGAACTTTCCTCGCCTGGTTTTCTTTGTGTATAATTGCTCATAAAACAGTCATCTTGTGATGCAGAGTCAAGCAGTAAACTTTGTTTTTTTCAGTACAACTTGTGGATTTATAATATTCATAGTGTACAGCTGTCATATGAATTATATAAAAAATATGGAATCATGAAGACAAAGAAATAAATGAAACGGAAATTCAATTTCACCAAAATGTTTTGAAAAACACAATGAAATGCTATTGCTAACTTTTTACACTGTATTGAGAATGAGGAGTTGACGTCACGGCACAGAGTCCCCCCTCCCCATCCCCCCTTTGCCGACATATTGGCTGCGCACCGGTGGCGGCAGTACAGTTTGTTTACGTGTGTTGTGAACGCGGTAGTAGCGGAGGTTCTTGCTATTCCGCACTGTTTTATCATGCCTGGAAATAACTGCTGCGTTAAAAACTGCTCCAATACCTCCCACGATGGATATGGAAAACCTAGTAACAACGGGATACAGTTTTTTAGGTTACCGAAATGGAAAAAGCATCAAGGGGAGCAATTCTCTGACCTGACAAGGAGACGTCGGATTGCTTGGTTGGCTGCAATTAGAAGAAAGGACCTTACTTTCGATCACACACCCCTGTCGACGAGAGTGTGTTCTCTGCATTTTCACTCTGGTACGTTCTGTAAAAATGTATTTATGTAGTTGTCTCTTAAAGCTAGGAAGTGTAGGTTAGCATATGTTATTATGGTTTCTGTAGTGCCTTTGTCTCTGTGTCTTTGTTACCCTCTCAGGCTGTTTCTTACTTAGCACGTGTTCTGCGAGGTCTTTGCCAGTGTAAAGCATAGATTACATAGATTGTACACATAATCTAATTATTCTGTTGTACATAAACCTTCATATGACATTATGAGGTGACCTAAAAAGTACTTGAGATGCTGTTCATGACATAGTTGCCAGTTTAAAGCATTGATTACATAGATTGTGCAAATTATTATATTAATTATATGTTGTTATTATTCTCGTGTAGGTAAACCAGCATATGAGATGTTGGAGAACCACCCTGACTGGACACCATCCCTGTTGTTAGGCCACAATGATGTACAAAAAACAGATGAAGCGAGATATCAGCGGCAAGTAAGGCGCAGGTCCCTGCCACTGGAGCGGCAGCCACCTCCAGCCCAACACCAGCCGCAGGCGCCGCCGCCTCCAGCCCTAGACCAGCTGCAGCCGCCACCAGCCCTAGACCAGCTGCAGCCGCCACCAGCCCAGAACTGTTTTTTAGGGTCTTGGGGTTGATGGGGAAAAAAATTGAACCTGTGACTATTATAATTTTTACAAAATTCCACTACAAGTGAAAAAAACGCTGTACTCCTGATGCCCTTCCTGAAGCAGTTTGTCTATGTCTATATATTGCTTCAGTATCACAGCTGTAAGATATGTAAAACAAAAAAACTAAGAAAACAAAGAAAGAAAAACAACATCTTATATTCATATACATCATATCATTATAATGTATTTATCAATGTCAATAATAAATATATAATATAATTACATCAATAATGCGCACTCTTCAGCCCGGTGCTGGCTCTTGTGAGCGCTGCATCTGCGTCTCCTCCTATCTTTGTGTAATGCACTTTCAAGCCCAGACTCTGAACACACACATCACTCGTAGATCACGTAGATCAGTGATCAAAAGCTACATTAGCTGTGTCGGGGACGCATTTTCGTAACATTCCTCTAAAATAATGCGTCTTTTACGCATCAGTAATTGCAATCGCAGCTGTAATTTCAACTATGGGACAATAAATACACACAGGAGAGTGAATCATCCTACTCTCTGACAATCTTTGGCAGTCCCTGTGTCAGCGTGTAAGCAAAATAACTTGGCTGTTTTACCTCACGGGAGACCGCTCGAAGATCCGACTTTCAAACACACGTAGAAAATTCCCCAAAAGTCACACAGACAAAACAAAACTAGCGCTGTAATGCCTGAAATGTGTACTTCACTGAGAGAAAAAAAGTAAGACGCTACGTTTTGCCGTTCATGAGAAAATTGAACATTTATAAAACATGTGCGCAGGCGTCAGATCCGATGCTCTAGAGACCCCAGAGGGAAAAACCACGCGGCTAAACGGTCAAAGTTAGATTGGGACCAGTTTGGGAAAAATCCTAACCCCCTGAAAGACTTGGCTTGAAATGACAACTTTAGAGGAGATAGGGAGAGATAGAATGAGGGAGGGAGGGAGATAGGGAGAGATAGAATGAGGGAGGGAGGGAGAGAGGGGAGAGAGGGAGAGAAAAGGAAGGAGGGAGAAAGAATGAGTGAGAGATGGGGAGGGAGGGAGAATATCAAAGTAGCTTAAGAAATTATATTTCAAATATTCAATGTGGATTTTTGGATTAGATGCTTTGGTAGAATAAGTGCATTTGTGTTTACAGCAACATTGTACCCTCCCTCTCTCCTCACCTCTCAGCCAATCAGCTCTCAGCCAATCAGCTCTCAGCCCAAAGAGTCAAATAGTGACTCACAGGGATCTCTCTTACAGCTACATGAAGGATTACATTAAATAAGATGACAATAAGATAGGGCTGGGCGATTAATCGATTTTAATCATTAATTCGAGTTTTACGTTTAGGGCGATTTCTTTTTTTAAAAAATCAATTTTTATTTTCTCCAGCGCTAACGCGCTAACCGCGGGTCTATGGTGTTGAGCAGTCATTTTGAAGCTAACCTAATGCTAACAGTCTCCCTCTGGCCTGATGCGCGCTCTCACAGTTGGTGCTGTTGCAATAACACTTCAAACGTTCAAGAATCAGACTTTATTTAATCGCCAAAACACACACACACAGGCTCCGGTCGTACGCCACATCTTTCACGCTCTCTCACGCTCGTTATTCCAAAGCGCACTCCCGTGTCCGTGGCGCGCACACACTCGTGTCCCACTGAGCCGCTGCACTTTGGGGAAAGACACGTCTCACACATTGCTCTCATTGCTCTGATACAAACAACGTGTTCCCCGCTGTCTGCTAGCTACAGTAGCTGCTAGCTACAGTAGCTGCTAGCTACAGTAGCTGCTAGCTACAGTAGCTGCTAGCTACAGCATCAGAATGTAAACAGGAAGCTCCCACAGTCACTGAAGTTAGTATTAGCGCCACCAGCTGGACCGAGCGTTGTACTACAGCACAGTTACTCAGGCACAGTTGAAAGAACAAGCATGAAAACCCGAGGAGGCTTTTGGAAAAGACTGACTGTTACAACATTTCTATTTTGAGTAATCAGTTTTAAAAATGTGATATTTCATGTAAATAATGCATGTGTTTAATAGGATTGATATATTTTCGATGGGCCTTGTTTGTGTGATTTAAGTTATTTTGAAGGTGCATAGTGTCATTGTAAGTGAAGTTATTATAAAACTGTTAAGCTACATTTTCACTGTTTACAATGGCAGAGCCATCTCGTTTACAAGCATGTTTTAAGGCTTAATTCCTGTTACACTTATGCTCCATGGGGATTTAGATTAAACTGCATAAAGGAAAATCTATTTCTTTGTCAGTTGTAGTTTGTTTTTAAATAGAAAAAAATAAATCGATTAAAATCGAAAATCGGATTTGGTGTGAAAAAATCTGAGATTTTTTTTTTTTGCCATATCGCCCAGCCCTACAATAAGATGATAAGACAGAACTTCTACAAGATTCTTTCGCTTTTTAGCCGCGGGAAAACCCCGTCCCCCCACTCCTTCTGTTTAAAAGCTATGTTTTCAAACTAGTTGAAATAAATCCTTGGAATATTGAGAGCTTTTTCCTGTTGTTTTAAAAATAAACTAGTTTTTTTCTTCCCCGTTCGCACCAGAGCCTTGAGTGAAGTGTTTCTCTCACCGGAGTGAAGCCTCAGGCTGAAGGTCACCAGCACCAGAACGATCCACATGGTTCCTCCTGAGCGTCCTGCAGATACAATACAATACAATACAATACAATACAATTTATTCTTGTATAGCCCTAGGTCACAACAGAAGTCATCTCAGAGACTTAACAAAACCATTGAAATCACCAACACAGGTCAGAGAATCAACAGTTAAAACACATGAAGAATATAAAGCACACACAGAAGAAAATGTCCATACATGTTGTAGAATGCTAAAGTGTCCTGATCATCACCAATCCTTTCTGTTGGACACTAACTGTCCAACAAGACCCTCCTGCATCGACAAGGAACAACTCTTAAAAAACCCAGTGGGAAAACGTGAGAAACCTTGGGGAGAACTAGGGAAACCCACAGGGAGGGAGACCCATATGAGAAAGGGATCCGCTCCTCCGGACGGACAGACTAATGATCCAGGACCTAAGCTAGCTACAGAACGTGGACCAGTGGACGCTGAACGTGGACAGGTCCGGTGCAGGACTGAAGCACTCCCAGGCGGGTCGGGCGGGGCAGTCCGCAGGTGTAGATGGAGGAGGCCAGGCTCAGAGATCCCGTCATCGTACCATGAAACAGACAATGGGACAACGGGTGAATAGCAATGAACAAACTACAGTCAGAATCCTAAAAATGCTAAACAGATAAAGTAGGAAGGAGGAGAGGATAGTGCTCAAGTTACCATACTTCTCCAGCAGGGGGCTCCCTATGCAGCTTGACTGACACTCTGAGGAGTTTAACCTTCTCCGAGTCTTACCTTCCTAGCCATATGCTAAACTAAAGAGGACTGTTTTAAACCTAGCCTTGAATAAAGAATAACATACAGCATAATATATAACATAATATACAACATAACACAATACATTATTGAATAATATATAACATAATTGTAGAGTGCTGCTAGTGTGACTTATCACAGCTACCATACTCGTGTCTACACATGCGCAGTGGTGGGGGCTAGAGGCGAATTAGCTATGAGAGCACCGAGTTATACCGGAGTGTGTTCCTACTGCCGGTGTGTTATTAAACTCAAAGTTGACCCTTTCTCTGTGTTCTCTTATTATCACAACACAATTTTGAAATATGAGTGTAAAACAACGTGTTGTGAGTATTTTTTGCGGGACCATCGTGCTACAACGCAAATTTTTTCAGCATCATGGCAGACTGCTTCAGACGTCCCGACCCGCTGGTGTTTGATGGCAACATTGCGGAGAACTGGCGCGTTTTTGAGCAAGAATACGACATTTTCGTCGCGGCAGCTCATTCAGACAAGTCTGCACGGACAAGGGCCTACATTCTCCTGAATCTAGCAGGCCCTGAAGCAATCGAGAGGGAGCGCTCTTTTGTCTATGCAGCGGAGGTACGTGAACCTGGCGACGATGGACGTGTCCTGGCTCCCGCTGAATCCAAGGAGGACCCAGAATGCCTTAAAAGAAAGTTCAGGGAAATGTGTAACCCCCAAACCAACATAACGATGGAGAGACACAAGTTCAATACACGAAATCAAAAGGCTGGTGAAACAGTTGAGTCATATGTGAGTGATTTGAGAATAAAAGCGAAGAGCTGTAATTTTGGTGAGCTTCGTGAGGAACTTGTCAGAGACAGACTGGTCTGTGGCATAAACAACGACCACCTTAGGAAAGTTTTGCTTCGTGACAGTGATTTAACACTCGCTAAAGCCATTTCAGTGTGCCAGATTCATGAGATGACTGAGGAGCACAATAAATCGCTCATGTCGCCACAAAGCTCAGCCACGAATGTAGATGCAGTACAAAACAACTACACAAAAAGACGCAACACTGAGAGGTTCGACAGATCAAACGCAAAACCCACACAGTTAATTAACAACTGCAACAATTGTGGTGGGAGTCATTCAGCTGCAAGGATTAAATGTCCAGCATATGGCCAACAGTGCAACGCTTGTAAGAGAATGAACCACTTCAAAAAGTGTTGCAGGTCCAGACCTCAGTACGACAGGCTTAAACAAGAGAAATCGGTCCACCAGGTGTATACTGAACACAAAGAGGAGAGTGACAGTGACAGTAACACATATTATGTGAATGGCATTACACTGGACCTGGCGGTGGACTCTACTGTAGCACAAACAAACGAAAGGGTGGAAGCTTTCACAACGTTGCGGATTAATGATAAAACCATCGAGATGAAAGTGGACACTGGTGCCAAATGTAATGTCCTCTCAACAAAGACGTTTCTCAAGGTGAAAAAATTTGAACAAATCAAACCATGCACTAAACCAACGAACCTGGTTGCATATGGAGGCAGTAAGATAAAGACTGAGGGAATCGTTGACCTGTGCTGCCACCTAGGGGCTAAGTGCTACACCTTGCCATTCTTCGTTATTGAGGAGCATGTACAGCCATTGCTTGGTCTCAACGCTTCCTTACAGATGGATCTCGTCTCACTCAGCAAGGAAGTTCACCAAGTGAGTAGCTCTGCAATAACTAATGATTTCACTCAACAGATTAAAACAAAGTACAGTGATCTTTTTGCAGATGAGCTGGGAAAGCTACCAGTTACTTACTCAATGACGCTGGATCCTGAGGTGAGACCTGTAGTTCGCTCAGCACACCGCATTCCTGTGGCGATGAAAGACAGAGAAAAAACGAATTGGACAGAATGCAAGAACTAGAGGTCATTAAACCAGTATCAGAACCCACAGACTGGGTATCTTCCATGGTCGCCACAAATAAGAAGGACAAACAAGAAATACGGATCTGCATAAATCCAAAGGACCTTAACGCGGCCCTTAAAAGACCACACCACCCGATGCGCACAGTAGATGATGTCGCATCACAAATGTCTAATGCCACAGTGTTCTCAGTATTGGATGCAAAGAGCTCATTTTGGCAGATATCACTGGACCACAAATCATCTATGCTAACTACTTTTAGCACATGCTTTGGTCGTTACAGATTCCTCCGAATGCCGTTTGGGATAAGTTCTGCCAGTGAGGTATTTCAACGCTCCATGGAGCAAATCTTTGCTGGTTACCCCTGCGCCATCATTGTGGACGACATACTGATTGGAGGCAAGGACATTGAGGAGCATGATGAAAACCTAAAAAAGGTACTTGACAAAGCGAGAGAGGTTAATCTAAGGCTCAACCCTTCAAAGTGCAAATTCAGGCTCAACCAAGTCAGTTATGTTGGACATGTTTTCACTGCACACGGTCTGAAGGCAGACCCCACGAAAACAAAGGCGATCAGTGACATGCCAGTGCCAGCGGATGTGCCGGCTGTGCAAAGGTTTCTCGGTATGGTTAATTACCTCGGGAAATTCATCCCCAATTTCAGTGAGACCTCTGCTCCACTGAGACAATTAACACACAAAGACACTGAATGGTCGTGGCATGAACAGCATCAGCGCGCGTTTGACACCCTTAAAGGGCACATGTCAAATCCTCCCGTTCTATCGTATTATGATGTGCGGAAGAATGTTACACTTACCTGTGATGCCTCGCAATATGGACTTGGTGCTGCGTGCCTGCAGGGTGGCAGACCTGTGGCTTATGCTTCACGCACTTTAACCGATACCGAAACGCGTTATGCGCAAATAGAAAAAGAGCTATTAGCTGTTGTTTTTGCATGTTCAAAGTTTCATGATTACATTTATGGCAAATCTATCACCGTTGAAACTGATCATCAACCGCTGGTCACAATCATCAAAAAGCCCATTCATACTGCTCCGGCCAGGCTGCAGAGGATGATGCTGCGGCTCCAGAAGTACAGCATTGAGTTAATCTACAAAAGCGGCAAACAAATGCACCTGGCTGACACTTTGTCCAGGGCTCCCACAAGCTCCACGGCACAACTTGAAGACGAGGTGGATGATTTTGATGTAATGACTGTCAGCTATGTGTCATCTGCTCGTTTACAGGAACTGCGAGAACACACAGCCATTGATCGGACTCTCCAGACCCTCAGCGGCGTCATCAGACATGGCTGGCCAAGTAAACTACACAATCTCCCTTCTGCAATGCATCCTTTCTTTCCCTTTAGAGATGAGCTTGCTGTTGAGGATGGTATTGTTATGAAGGGTCAGAAAACTGTAATTCCACATTCATTACAGAAGACATACATTGACATTGTACATAGGGGCCACCCTGGCTCGGAAGCTACAAAACGGAGGGCGAGAGGCATTGTGTTTTGGCCTACAATGACAATGGACATTGATAACGAGGTTCAGGCATGCTCGGTGTGTAATAGCACTAAACCACATCAGCAAAAAGAGCCGTTGCTCCTGCACACCATTCCTGAGCTCCCTTGGTCGACTGTAGCTGCTGACATCTTTGAATGGCACGGCCAGCAGTATCTGGTGCTTGTGGATTCCTTCTCGGGCTGGTTCGAGATCGACCTGTTAAACAACATCACGTCGGCTAATGTGATCTGCAAACTAAAAAGGCACTTCTCGGTCCATGGAGCCCCTCACACTCTGATCACAGATAATGGACGACAGTTCACAAGTCAGTGCTTTAAGGACTTTGCAGCTCAATGGGACTTTGCTCATGTCCTGTATAAGCAGCCCAGAGTATCCTCAATCGAAGGTCCTCCGTACAGAAAGGCAAATCACATAGGGACAAAACACCTGTATATATAAACTTGTCCTCCACAGAAAGGCACACACTCTTCCAGTGTCCAAAGAGCTGCTTGCTCCCAAAATGCTGTATATAAAGGTCCTACAGAAAGGCACACACCCTGTATACTGCAAACACCATAAGGTCCTTCACAGAAAGGCTCACACCTGTATATATAAGGTCCTACAGAAAGGCACACACCTGTATATATAAGGTCCCACAGAAAGGAACGCACCTGTATATATAAGGTCCCACAGAAAGGCTCACACCTGTATATATAAGGTCCTACAGAAAGGCACACACCTGTATATATAAGGTCCTACAGAAAGGCACACACCTGTATATATAAGGTCCTACAGAAAGGCACACACCTGTATATATAAGGTCCTACAGAAAGGCACACACCTGTATATATAAGGTCCTACAGAAAGGCACACACCTGTATATATAAGGTCCCACAGAAAGGCTCACACCTGTATATATAAGGTCCTACAGAAAGGCACACACCTGTATATATAAGGTCCTACAGAAAGGCACACACCTGTATATATAAGGTCCCACAGAAAGGCTCACACCTGTATATATAAGGTCCTACAGAAAGGCACACACCTGTATATATAAGGTCCTACAGAAAGGCACACACCTGTATATATAAGGTCCCACAGGAAGGCACACACCTATATATATAAGGTCCAAGCCCCAGTGATCCAAGATGGCGCCCTATTGAAATGAATGGCTTGTGCTCAGTAGTTCATGGGACTTCATGGAGACAGGGAGATTAGCTGAACTCGCCTATATTTGGGCATTGTCTGGTCCTCCCGGTTCTGCGCAGTGGATTAGCGCAACGTTAATGCGTTACGCCAAACGTGCGTGTGTGGCTTTCATGCACGCGCACAGTAGTAAGTAATCTTTAGTAGTAAGTGATCTTTATTTATATACCGCCTTTTCACTGCACATTGGAGTCTCAAAGCGGTTTACAATTGTGATTTTTGGGAGTGGGGATGCCAGTACAGGAGGCACATGCCAGACCTATTGTACATATTTTTAGTGGTAGGGGAAACCGGAGCACCCGGAGGAAACCTACGCAGACACGGGGAGAACATGCAAACTCCACTCAGAAAGGCCCTGGTCCAACCGGGATTCGAACCCAGGACCTTCTTGCTGAGAGGCAAGTGTGCTATCCACTCAGCCACCGTGCCGCCGAGTTTGTTTGCCGAGTGTGGCCGAAGGGCTCGGCCACGCTCTGACCAATCAGAGCTGATCATCAGAGCAGTGGAAGAGCGGAGTGGCCTGTATGGTAGAGTGGCCAGACGGAAGCCGCTCCTTAGTTTGGAGTTTGCCAAAAGGCACCTGAAGGACTCAGATCATGAGTAAAAATATACTCTGGTCTGATGAGACAAAGATTGAACTCTTTAGCGTGAATTAGGGATGTAAAAAACTATGAATTTTCATGACCGACCACCGAGCCTCATTAACCGGTTGAAACCGGTTAACCGCGTAGTTTTAAATAGTCCACGTTCTTTGAAATTACAGCCATTTCGAGCCGCGTACTTTCCATAAGTGCAGCTGCGTTCAACTGGATCAGAGCCGAGACAGCGGCGCCAAAACCCGCAACAGCTTCGGCGGTGTGGGTGTTACGTATCAATGAAGGGGGGGAAAGTGTGTGCGTGTGTGTGCTTGTGTGCGTGCATGTGTGCGTGCATGTGTGCGTGCATATATGGCCCGTGCAGCGTGAGAGTCGGCCCGGAGTTTACTGATACATTGGCGCACACAGCTAGATATGGACCCGCTCGTCACATCGTGCAAATAGGGCTTAAAATACTGTAGCATTAAGAAGAGACCTCCCCTCTCCGCTTTTTCTCTTTTTTAACCGACAGCTTTGACCGGTTAACGCTGTGACAGTCAACCACCGGTTAAACGGTCACCGATTTACATCCCTAGCGTGAATGCCAGGCGTCATGTTGGGTGGAAACCAGGCACTGTTTTTCAGCGGCAGGAACTGGGAGACTAGTCAAGATAGAGGGAAAGACGAATGCAGCAATGTACAGAGACATCCTGGATGAAAACCTGCTCCAGAGCTCTTGACCTCAGACTGGGGCGACGGTTCATCTTTCAGCAGGACAACGACCCTAAGCACAGCCATGATAACAAAGAAGTGGCTTCAGGACAACTCTGTGAATGTCCTTGAGTGGCCCAGAGCCCAGACTTGAATCCAACTGAACGTCTCTGAAAAGATCTGAAAATGGCTGTGCACCGACACTCCCCGTCCAACTGTATGGAACTTGAGAGGTGCTGCAAAGAGGAATGGGCCAAAACTGGTTTGCCAAGCTTGTGGCATCATAGTCAAAAAGACTTGAGGCTGTAATTGCTGCCAAAGGTGCATCAACAAAGTATTAAGCAAAGGCTGTGAATACTGTTTATTTGTTTAACTGTTGATTCTCTGACCTGTGTTGGTGATTTCAATGGTTTTGTTAAGTCTCTGAGATGACTTCTGTTGTGACCTAGGGCTATACAAGAATACATTGTATTGTATTGTATTATGTACATGTGGTTTCTTAGTTTTTTTTTAATTTTTAATAGATTTGCAAGAATCTCAAGAAAACCTTTTTCAGGTTGTCATTATGGGGTGTTGTGTGTAGAATTGTGAGGAAATTTTTTTATTGAATACATTTTGGAATAAGGCATAACAAAATATGTCCCGGATGCACTGTACAGGCATAGCCATACATATGTATACAATATTCATACACACATATTTGTATAGTTATCTTATAATATATTTAAATATATATCCATAAACACATACATACAGTATACACATATCAACACACATATATACAAACACACATATACAGATATAAATGAGTTTCTTTGAAACCAATGTGCCATAGTGGCCAACGTGCACCGGTAAGTTCGGTGTAACGCCGGTTTACACTGCCTTGCCGAGATGCACTGCCTCAGCCTTTTATGACGTAATGGAAACCTGCGCGTGCGCGTCTCACGGCAGCAAGCAAACCAACGATGGCGGACCGTGAATTGCTTTAAAAGTTAAAATACGAACGAATTAAGACACGAATGTCACTTTTAATGCAATTTGAGGCGAGATGTTGATGGTTCCGTTTTGTCACTTTGAGGCGAGATGTTGATGGTTCCGTTTTGTCACATGTGGGTTTTAAGAGTCAAAGTTTTGTGTAAAGTTTAGTTTAAGCAGTCAACTGCGCCTGTGAAACCACAATGCTAATGTTATGATAGCAGTCTGCGGCTGCTGATGTAGGCCGATGACGCGTCCTGTGGCAACTCTACAGTTTACCACTGGTCTGAACATGTTGATATGGGATTTTTAACGATTGTATCATAATGTATCCATACCGAATAACAAGATTACACATGTTACATTCAATGAATTGAATATTTTTTATGTAACTACAAAACACCATCACATTAAATATGGACAACAGAGGACAGTATAATTGTTAGTTACCTAATGTAACTTAAGTTCTACGAATGGTGCGTAGCCCCTTAGAAGGCTATGCTATGGGTAACTCAGAGGCTCCCAGCCTCCCACCAGAGAGAACTAAATGCTCCAATCACGTGCCAGTCCCATCTACATTTTCGGCACCAGCTTCAGCTGTGCAGCTCGTCACTTCGGCTCTCTCTCTTTACGACCTTTTTTCTCTATTTATTTCTGTAGATGTGCTTTTCTTATTATTATTCTTAGAGTAGGTGTCATATCGTGCATTAGTGCATACGGGACGCCTACTTTTTCGCTGGATTAAACATGTTTTCGGCACTTTTGGACCCCTCCGCTCACAGCGGCACAAGCCCCCCCGCGTGTCCCATTGTCTACACATGGGAGCAGCTTCTCGGACTAAGATCCACTAAGACGCAGAGGCTCCAGAGGAGGCCGAAAGAGGAGACTGTACCTCCCCTCCATCATTATGGGGAACGTACGCTCCATCTCTAACAAGACCGAGGAGCTGGCAGCGCTGGCCCGCCATCAGAGGGAATACAGACTTTGTGGACTCATGTGTTTCTCTGAGACTTGGCTGTGCGGGAATATACTGGACTCTGTGGTCGCTCTGGAGGGATTCAAACTTGTGCGCGCAGACCGAAGCGTGGAGGGGAGTGGAAAGAAGAAAGGCGGGGGAGTCGCGGTGTACGTGAACGAGCAGTGGTGCATCCCGACGCACCACTGCGGGAGTTCTCGAACACCGTGGTTCTGTGTGTTTATATTCCCCCGTCAGCAGACGCGGCCGCAGCCTGTGAGGGGATCCATAGCACCGTGACCCTAATCCAGACCCACAGTCCCCGCTCTCTGATTCTGATCACCGGAGACTTTAACCACGCCTCCCTCTCTGCCACTCTCCCGACATTCAAACAGTATGTCACGTGCCCAACTGGCGAGAATAAGACTCTGGGCCAACTGTATGTTAATGTACGGGACGCATACGCTTCCTCCCCCCTCACCCCTTCGGGCGCTTTGACCACAGTCTGGTCTGGCTGTCTCCGGAATACCCACCCGTGGTGAGAAGGAAAGAAAAGGGCTTTCATCTCAGGGGACAAAGAGGAGCAGAAGAGGATGCAGCACGAGCTCCAGTGGAGGATCAGGAGGGCCAAGAAGGACTATGGGAAAAAGCTGGAGCAGAAGCTGGCCCAGGGAAACGCCCGTGACGTGTGGAGAGGCCTAAAGAACATCTCCGGCTTTGGACAGAGTGCCAGAGGGACAGCGGATGGAGACCAGCACCGGACGGGATCAGTCCCAGGCTGCTGAGGACCTGTGCAGACCAGCCCTCTGAGATTCTCAGCTACATGTACAACCTGAGCCTCAGCCTGGAGAATGTCCCTGTCCTGTGGAAGACCTCCTGTGTGATCCCGGTTCCTAAAACAGC